CTGACCAGACCTGCACATCATCTGGTGACTTGAAAGTAAAGATTTCCTGGAATTGAAGCAGATGACATCTGATGAGACAGCTTTCCCAAGATGTCCAGACGAGGCCTGCTGGGAGTTTGTCTGCCAAACCTCTGATGCTGACATAACGCTTCAGATGACCTCCAATGCCTATGATCTTGATAAGATATGGACTTAAGGAAGAAAAAAACCACCCTGAGAGTTCTGCCTCCGATTCCTCCTTGTTACTTGAATGTGACCTCAATAGGTTTCCAGTCTGTGCACTTTCCCTCTGATGTGGGACATGACACCCAGGAAAATTCCTTAGCACCAGGAATAAAGGCCGATAAAATCAGGAAAACCTCTCAATCAGCGATGCTTTCAGAGAAAGGTCTTGATCAAAAGAGAAAAATGTGAAAATTAATAAATAGAAACCTCATTTAAAATGGAGTCAGGAGGCCAGAAGGGGAAGCTCTCACACCCTACAACAACCGTCGAGCCCACGTGGAAGAAGAAAGACTTCCTCTTCTTGTCCAGCCAATGAGAGACTGTCACAGCCAGTGAGAGAGTGTCACAACTCAGCCAATGAAAAGCCAGTACACTGTGAACTCTGAGTTCCTCCAATGGACTCTTTGTTTACATTAGCCCTCCCCACATCCTCTTCCCCTCTATGGAAGAGTTTCTCCTCCCCTTGTTGCTTGGACCTTGCAAGTGGCTCACCATGGTGGCAGATGCCTAACTGCAATTCTCTGTTGATCCCGAATAAACTCATTTTTGCTGGAGAAATAACTGGCTGTCTATTGTTTAAAGTCAACACCAACACATTTCAAAGAAAAAAGCAGAAGTACTGGGAATAATCTCCAGGAGAAAGAAAAATAAGGCCTAGACAAAGAGAATATCCCAGGTGATGAGCTCAAAAGTTAAAGTTCACAACAGCCTTTCAGCCTGGTAATCTGGCAAGAGGTCCTAATAGCTTTAGGCATAACCTCTGACCCACTTCCACTTCATGGAATGTATCCTAAGTAAATAATTAAAGATAAAAGAAAAAATTTAGCCATGAGGATGTCCTACATAATAGCCAAAAGAAAAAAAAAAGATACAAACTAAGCTAGTTAATTAGTACCACACAATGAATGCTCTACAGCCACTAAAAATGATCACAGCCACTACAGCTATGGAGGTATATTTACTGGCATGGAAAGGTATCTTCAATTACATTGTTAAGCAAAATGAGCAAACAACAAAACAGAATATACACTATAATACCATTTTTTCCGCTAATTCTCTATATTGATAGCTGTAACTCTGTATTTCATGCTTGGAATAGAAGTGATTATTCCTGGCTGGTGGTGTCATGGGTGATTCAGTCTTTGTACTTTTCCTCCAATTTCTAGTTTTTTATCATTATTACTAGAGTCCCAGTACAAAAGAAAAACAAGCTTTTTTAAAACAAAAAGTCATGCACCAAAAAAAAAGCCGGGGCTACATAACCAAGGATGAATGCAAAGACTGGAACAGTCCTATAAGGATGGCTAAAGATAAGAATAAGCTAAATACTTTGAAAAACATTAAAATGTTTAATATTGATTTTTTTTAAAGAGGTCATATCTAAACAAGAGTAAGTAAAAGCCTACTGGTTGAGGCACAACAGTATCACGCTAATAGATGAAAAAAGAAGACAACACAACAATCTCCACTTAGCATCTATTGTCCAGCTGGACAAGGGGTCTTCAAATAGGAAAAGTCACAGGAATTGGCCCCACAAGGAACCGAAGTGGTGGTGGGAGAGCACCCAACCACTCTGGATGCGTCTGAGTCTCTGGGACCCAGAGGAATAATTGCCCAGAGTGTGGAAATGTCAAGAACATTACTACAAAATTGGGGCCAGCAATACGTGAGAAATCAGAGACCAGGTGAAGAGGGAGAAAACTGGAAAAAGCACCAACATCTGTTGTATTTGAGGAGTCAGATATAAAATCAAACTCTGGCTGCCTCTTCCTAGCTCTGCAACTATGTAGGCATTTTACTAACCTTTCTGAGCTTCAACTTACTGATTTCTAAAATGAAAATAATAACATATAACTCCCTGAGTGTTGGTGAGGAGTCAATGAAATAACATGTATTAAATGCCTAATTAGGTGCCATGCTCCTAGGAGGCAGTCAGTCAATAAATAGCAGCTAGAGACATTTTTTTTTTTTGAGGAAGATTAGTCCTCAGCTAACTGCTGCCAATCCTCCTCTTTTTGCTGGGGAACACTGGCCCTGAGCTAACACCTGTGCCTATCTTCCTCTACTTTATATGTGGGACGCCTATCACAGCATGGCTTGCCAAGTGGTGCTATGTCCGCACACAGGATCCAAACCAGCGAACCCTAGGCTGCCAAAGCACAACGTGCAAACTTAACTGCTGAGCCACCAGGCCGGCCACTAAATACATATTTTATTAGAGGCTGGGTCTAGAAACCAGGCACCTAGATGTTTGGCCATATTTTAATCCTCAATTTACCATTCATAATTTAAATTTGAGATTCCAGATTTGTCAATAAGGAGCAAGTTACAAACACTGATGAGGCATCTGAAGGGTTGTACTGGGAAAAGGCTAGAAGGAGAAGAAAACTCCCTTCAGGGCCTGAGACTGGTGAAGAGCCACAACCCCTGGTCATCTAGGAAGGATTTCATTACCTTTACTAAGGGAAGGATTTTCCTTGGGGACAGTGACAACAAACAACAAACAGCAAGCTGCTCCACTTCTTACACTGATTCACAAGAATAAGCCAGGGACACGCAGTGCAGCCCTGGAGTCTCTTGCAAGCTTCTGGGACTCTTATTTCCAGGCTGCAAGGAAGCACTCGCAAAAGCGAGGGGCAGGAGGGATGGAGGTTAACAGCAATGCAGATCAGTTAAGAAACCTAAGAAGACAGAATCCGGAAGTGAGAAGTATTTTCAGTAGATAGGGAAAGAAGAAAACAAAGCCCAAAGGCCAGGCCTGGCCTTCCATAAAAATTCTTTATCATTCCTACTACAGATGTACTGACAGACAATTGAGGAGTAAGTTCACACATAAAAAGAGAAAAAAACTATGCAATTTGAACTATTATCAAAGACACTTGCAAATATTTTTCCACTTTTGTTTTTCTTGATATTATTTTCTCATTAGCTGCAAACACCGTTTTCTCTGGAAGCTCACAGCATAGTGGTTACAAGAGTTTGCCTGCAGTCTCCACCATCACCAATGTGACCTTGGACAACATACATAGGCTATCTGTGCTTTAGTCTCCTCATCTGTTAAAAAAAAGGAATACTCCTTTGTCCTAGGGTTGCTGTGAGGCTAGATGAGATATATATAAATGCTTAGAACAACGTCTGGGCACCAGATTTTTGTCTTTGTCTCCTTAAATTCTACACAGTTACATTACCAAGCAGAAGATTTTCTTTAAAAACTCCACTATAAATGAGGAGAAGAAATAATGTGTCTCTAGAGGCCTGAAATGTCTGATGGGTACAGAGAGGCCAGTCCCAGTTCCACTGATAGGATGACCGACAGCTATGCTGGCCTTCTATTCTCGCTGATAAGGCTGAAAACCGTAATGTTTTCCCACTCACCACGCACGGCTCAGAGTGAGATTTACACAGGAAGATATTCAATTAAGCATTCATTTAAAAAGTTTACTTTTATTTTCTGTTTTTGAATAGGTGATACACAGACTTGGTATAAAATTCAAATACTACGAGGTTTATAGGGAAAAGAGAATTTCCCTTCCTCTCCCGCCCCAGCTCCCAATTCCCTGTATCAGAGCTATGCTGTCATCTGATTCTCGTATCTTTCCAGAAATGAAGCATCATTTAAAAGAAGAGAAAGCAACAGCATATCCAACCAAATGGTTATTATTTGTAATGACAAATGCTGTTAGGAGGAGTCTTTAATAGCATACAAAAGACTCTATACTGGGGGGCCGGCCCGGTGGCACAGCATTTAAGTTTGCATGTTCCACTTCAGTGGCCTGGGGTTTGCTGGTTTGGATCCCAGTTGAGGACATGGCACCTCTTGGCAAGCCATGCTGTGGTAGGAGTCCCACATATAAAGGAGAGGAAGATGGGCACGGATGTTAGCTCAGGGCCAGTCTTCCTCAGCAAAAAGAGGAGGATTGACAGCAGATGTTAGCTCAGGGCTAATCTTCCCCCCAAAAAAAAACAAAAACAAAAACAAAAAACTCCATATTGGTAAGTGAAAAAAACTACAAAATTATATTTAAAGCATAATTCTATAAAAATGCACATTAAAAATATGAAAGAAACATGTCCAACCATCAGAAGTGGCTGCTTCAGTCTTCTGAAATTAAGGTTGAGTTTCTTCCCTTGTATCTGTCAACCTTTTTTTAAAAAAAAACTTTAAGGATATTCTAAACTGAACACCTATTTCATAACCAGGAAAAAAAATTACTCTGCTGTCATAGCATGTCCTCTTCTTTTTGTTACTTAATACTGCCACCAAACTTAAAATTGCATCTGGCTTCAGAGCCTAATCATCTTAAAGGTTTTCCACTCTTCCTATTTCCAAAATGGAACAGGGGGAAAAATATGTATGACTACTATAAAGCGACAAAGACTTTTTTTGTTTTAAACAAGCACTTTATGTCTTTTATCATCAAACGACTGTTACCCTTTTCAGAATAATCACTTTGGGAGACCACACACTTATTCTTAAAGTAAAAAACAGGCAAAACAGCATGATGTATTATTTTCGGAAGAAAGAGAATTTGCACCTTGGCACTGAGGCTCCACTCCCATCAGTTCAGGTAGGAAGGCTGGGGGGTGAGTGGGGGCGGGCTGACCGGGTTCCGCTGGGCTCTGGCCCAGAGTGTTCTGACACGGCCCGAAGCTCCTCCACCCCTTGTGCTAAAGAAGTGGGCACACGCATACAGATTCCCAGAGGTTACAACAGACTGCGCATGGTGACAGAGGCCATCCCAGACTATTCCACAGAAAATATTCTTTCTCCAAAGCCACCATGGGGGCAGCAAACTCAATCTACCCTCTGGAGGTCGGCATTTCCTCTTTGGAGCTACTCAAAGTTTATACCTGCACTGGGACAAACAAGGAAGGGCTATGAGTTTGGAATATTTCTCCCTTGAAACCGAAACTAAGAAAAACACTGTGCAGTGGTCATGGCAAGTTCTCCCCGTGAACGCCGGGTCCAGACAGTGGGCACATAAGGCAGGGTTACCCTCACACCCCAACCTGACGCCAGCTCCTGGGCAGCCCCAGCAGACGAAGCCTCAGGGAGCAGGGCGTTTGTGACTAAACCAAAGGGCTATCTGGAGGCTGTGAACCTACGTTCTTCTCTTACACAGGGACTCGGACAGGGGAACTTACTGAGAGGTCAACAACAGTCTTGATGGCCTTTTCTTTTCTCTTGAGGAAGTCATCATCCTGTAAGACAAAACAAGGAATAAACAAATCTTGGGCGAAGACTGAAACGCACTGGACTGCTCAGACGTCGGCCCTATAAACCGACTTCCCGTCACTACCTCACCTGAACCAGTCTCAGTTTTCTAACAAACTGGAATACATTCCTCACGGGAAAAAGCTACCGCCTCTGCAGCTGGCTCCAAAACAGAGCTCTATAGTCAGAGAGAAAAACGGGGACCACTGAGTGCAGTGGTGACGACAAGTATTCTCATTTCAAATCCTTACGAGCTCGGAAGCCTCAGGCAAGTTACCTAGCCTCTGAGCCTCAGTCTCTCCATCTGTAAAACAGGGACAGAAACACCTATCTCAGGGGGCCGTCATGAGGATTAAAGAGTAGAAGGCAGGTGATGTGCTGGGGCTAGAATGTAGTAAGCATTTCATAGTGATGAGCTATTGTTGTTGTTGTGATTACCTTTCAACTGTTCCTCTAAGAATGTTCTAGGCAAGTGGTCTCTTGAAAAGCTTTATATGACTATAGAGAAATATACTCATGTTCTTATAATTTAATAAAAGTTCTGGATCAAGTACCAAAACTGACAGAAAAGGACAAAACCATAGGGCTTTCCACTCAGTGCCCATTTAAAGAGGCAGTTCTAGCGACCCAGGAGGCCCAGTCTCAGTGCTGCCCAGGCAGAGGCAGAGATGCCACACGGGGGTGGGAGCGCAGGGCAGCCTGCACTCACTCTGCTCCTTCTAAGTGTGCACCCATGCTCCCAGCTGGACAAGAAAAGAAAATGAGAACACTGACCTCAGGGAGACTGCAGGTCTTCTGGAACTGGGACACAGAGTAGGAGCGGATGTAGTCACCCATCTCTTCTTTTGTTTCTATAGCTCGCTTCACCAGCCACTGCAGAAGAAAGTTAGGAAACGTGAGCCGATGGGGTGAAACACCACTGCGGTGAAGGCCAACTCAGAGATGGCTCCACTCGTGAACCCAAATCACTGTCCTTGAACTGACCAAGTGACGACAAGCTATCAACACACACTGTCCTATAGGAAAAGCAACCGGCTTAGCGTCTGAGATGCTAAGATCCAGTGGGACCTAGAGCTGAGCAGCTGTGCAGGAGGAGCCTCACTTCAGAGCCTCAGGCCTCAGTTTCCCTCTCCATGTAAAGTGAAACTGAGAACGTCAGTTCCTTTCACCTCACAGAGCTACTGTGGGAGCAAATGGAACCACATGTACTAGAGTGCTTTGTAAATACCCGAAACATAACACAAATGCAGCTATCCCCACAACCTCCTGGTTATAGCGATCGATCTCAACGTCATTCTTTTTCCTGCTTCTTGCACTACAGACCAGAGAAAGGGGAAGAACCAGAGAGAACCCCTAGTATAACCCTCAACTGACAGATGAAAAAACATCCCCAAACTATTCAGATGTGAGAACAGGGTGTACTGAGTACATAGCCTTGGGCTTCGGGTTAGCTTGGCACTCACAACATTCTCTCTCTCAATCTGCACAATGCTACAAGGTGGCTGGTACTGGCTGCGATGACAGAACCTGAAGCTCAGAGAGAGTACGTAACTTGCCCATTGATCCACAGCTAGCAAACCACAAAGCTGGGTGTCACAACTCACAGGCTCTTCCACACCAGAAGGCTGGACATATGGGCTTAATTAAATGTTTCCCAGCTCTTTTGGGCTGATGTGCAAAAGGAGGTGTTTCTCCCTACCTAAAACTCCAGTTAATTAAAACACACACATACACACACACACACCCCATAACCTGTGGAAGATTCCAGTGCTCTGAGGGTAAGAACGCAAAGTCAAATAAGAGCCTTTGTTGTCCTCCCCTGGCTCTTCATTCAATTCCTTTACTACTGAAGAACATCATGGAGGGGTGCCATCTGTCAGGCTTGCCATTCTCTCTCCAGAGAGAGCCACTACATCTCAAAAGCAGTTTTTGGACAGTAGTTGTGTTTCCCCAAGAGCACAGCCACACGTGGCAAGGTTTAGCTGCCTAGGAAAGTAGACACGTGGCATGCTGCATGGTGCTCCCACAAGGACAGGAAGAAATGCTTGATCACGGAGGGCAGCCAGCTCAAGGAAAGGACCCGTTTAGGAATTAGCTGCCCAGGAGAGGGGCGGCTGCAAATATCTATATAAGGAACATTCTTTTGTTGTTAGCATCTTTCATTTATTTCCATCATTCCACTCCACCCCATCTCCAAACAACCACCTCAGGCACGGACAAAGCCAGAAGCAGGGGCAGAGGATGAGACCACACTCATAACTATGGTAGCTCCTAACTCACACCCCGACCCCAACACCACAGCCCCAGACAACTAAGGAGGCTGACACTTGCTCAAGTCAATTTGTCTCTGCTTTGCTTTGGATCCACAGATCCAGTTTCTGGTCTTTCATACTTGTTTCCTTTTCCATTAATCAGATCTACCCAGAATTATCACTTGGTGGGATGCTGGAGAGTGTTATCACATAAGGAAGGCAAAGCATGTTGAGTCATAGGATTCCCACAGACAGTCCAATACTGTTTTGGAGTTCCCAGCATGAAGGGCTGTGGAGGGAACCTCTTGGACAGCCACGCTCTGCCACAGCTCCCTGGCATTCAAGAAAATAGCTACCCTCACAGGATCACATCCCACATGGGAGAAAAAGATGTGACCTAGAACACCAATGGCTGGAAGTTAGACCCGTTTTTCTCCCGGCTGGCATTCGGAGTGTGTTACTATAGCTTTGTAAACGGTGTGAACATTGGTGATGAGTCTCGAGCCCGGCACAAGACAACGAGTTCAATGGTTCCCAACTGCTGGTCCGTGACTATCCTTGCACTGGTCTCCAGCAAAACAGGAAAAAACTAGAGGCATGTGGTAAGCTTTTCAGGATGCTAAAGGTATTCAATTTGAAGGACTGTCCTTTATTTTAAGATTGGGAGTTAAATGGCTTTTCAGGAAATGATAGAGAAACTAAGAGCAGTTACTTTTAAAAAGGCCCTTGCCTGGCAAAATACAGATGGCACCCGTAGGTCAACCTCCATTTTTGCTTTAAAATTTTACTGGTCCATGACATTAAGAAATCTGGTAACCGGCAGCCTAGGCTCTCACATCCAGACAGGAAGCCCCCCAGCATTCAACTCACAACACGGAACATTCACAGACACTCAAAATGCCCAAACCAAATGCAGAAGATCACTTCCTTTTCGCTCTCTTCTCATATCTAGACTAGATTCTTTGCCCTCAAAGTTCTAGCATGGGGCTGAGGAAGGTCTAATCACTAGAGATCCAGGCTTTGGGGGAAAAGGCAACAACTTCACAGAATGACAGTGTTGGAGGTTTTAGTAATAACACAGGGGCCCTACTTCCTAGTTTCACAAAAAGGATCAGGTACCGTCCGTCTGCACCAGACAAAAAGTCTAACAAAGATACAAATCAAATTCTGAGTTAAAGTCTTGAAATGTTTTGCTGTGTACACAAACAACTTCTGGGATCCTTTGTTCCTTCGGTTTGTCGTTTTCCAGAGCTCATCCCATACCGTAGTAGGAGAATCATTGGCGCAGGAGTCTGGAGCCCAGAAGTTTAGTACTGGCTCACTTACTGATAAGGAAGAAGGATGAGATTAACATTACTGAGGGCCTGTGCCGGGTTGACCTCTTTTGGCCTTTGGCTCTTTGTCTGTAAAGTCAAGAGTTTAGGCTAGCATGAGTTGCTCCTAACCAGAGATGTCCAGGAGTTACTTGAGTGGTTTGGTTTGAGATTTTTGTTTGTTAAAATGTTGAGGCCCAGCACCAGACGTGCTCAATCAGAATGGTAAAGGCTCTGGCAGTGGTTCTCAGCCAGGGCAGTTTTGCCTCCCAGGTAGGGTGACCAGTTCATCCCAGTTTACCCAGGACTTGACCAGTTTTAACATCGAAGGTCCTGCATCCCATAAATCCCACCTCTGTCCCAGGTGGCCTGTGAGGATTGGCGGCATCTTTTGGTTGTCAGAACTGGGGGCAGGCTACTGGCATTTAGTGGGTAGAGGTCAGGGATGCTGCAGAACATCCCATAATGCATAGGACAGCCTCTCACAACAGAGAATTATCCAGCCCACGATGTCCATAGTGCCCAGGTTGGAAAGACCTGGGTTATAGCCAGGGCGTGTGTGGGCTGGGGAGCTCACGGGTCATTCTGATGCCTTCACCTGCTGCAGGTCCACAGCACGCTTGCTGTGTGGGTTCACTCTAACAGTCTGTGTCTGTACCTGACTCTTCTCAGTTGTCTCTTTAGAGTTAAATTAACTCTTTCAATTGACTTCAAATTCAGTTGTTATTATACTAAATGTTTTCACTTTTTATTTCAGATTTCTTAAACATTTCGTTTTTCTCTGAACTCTCTCCCAACCCGACAAGCCTTGCCATTTTCATTTCATACAAGTTCCTTCATTGTACGTCCTCTGCGCCCCTTCTTATTCTGTCACAGTTTAGGCTCTGGGCTATAAGGTACACCGGCGTCAGCGGTGGAGAAACTCCAGTAGTGCAGGGTCGTCGTCTTTATATATAGAAATGGTTGGGGATTTGGCTTTTCTGACTGGAGGAACTCTTCTAAGCTTGACTCCAACCCAGTGGTGCCTTTAGCCAGCAAAACTAACTTAGGCAATTATAGCAGTATTAACTGTTAAAAAGGGGGGGGAACTCGCTAATGATAAACTGTCTTCTGTTTAGGAGCCTTCGAGGATACTTCATTTGCTTCTCTGACTAGTCTTGTCAATGAGAACACTCTAAAGGCAATAAAAGAAATGGGCTTTACAAACATGACCGGGATTCAGCATAAAAGCATCAGACCGCTTCTGGAAGGCAGGTATGATCCACATTGATGTTTGGGCTTTAATCTGTTTTCAGTGCCAGTAGTTCAGAAAGGAAATACCAGTATGTTCGGTTGATTTTGCACTGTGTGTTGGCTTACATATCCAACCTGCTTTAAAGAGTTATTTGCTGATGTTTGAAGAAAAGCGTTCCCTTCTGTTGTAGAGCATGTCTCTTATTTCTGAGTTGGGTATTTGACGCAGGTGATTGCTTTCAGTGATGGAGAAGGTGGGGACTTTGTCTTTTGTTGCTCATGTTCTGGCGTTGATGCCCAAACGATATGCGGTAGTGACATGGTAGGTATTCAGTACATGACTTGTTGAATGAGTAGACTAACTGTCTCTGACCTTTCCTGTCTTAATCCTTAGGGATCTTCTAGCAGCTGCAAAAACAGGCAGTGGCAAAACCCTGGCATTTCTCATCCCTGCGGTTGAACTCATTGTTAAGTTAAAGTTCATGCCCAGAAATGGTAAGTCTGTGATCCACTGTCTTTGCCGTACCTCACTAGAGTTATTGTAGCGGGTACACGCTCTTGGTGATAACTGCAGGCTGACTTTCACCGCATGTCATTGTTGCCTTTGTAGGAACAGGAGTCCTTATTCTCTCACCTATGAGGGAGCTGGCCATGCAGACTTTTGGTGTTCTTAAGGAGCTAATGACGCACCATATCCATACGTATGGGTTAACAATGGGGGGCAGTAACAGATCTGCTGAAGTGCAGAAACTAGCTAATGGGATCAACATTATTGTGGCCACACCAGGCCGTCTCCTGGACCACGTGCAGGTAAGAGAACACTGTTGTGTAGTCCCTGTCTTACTGTCTTGTGTGAAACCTCAACCTGACAGCTAACAGTTTTTCTTTGTCTTGTTAGAATACTTCAGGGTTTATGTATGAAAACCTTCAGTGTCTGGTTATTGATGAGGCTGACCGTATCTTGGATGTTGGGTTTGAAGAGGAATTAAAGCAAATTATTAAACTTCTGCCAAGTAAGTAGGTGGCATCTGCATGTGGTTTGCAAAGTAGTTGGAAGTAGGTGAGGGTTGTTCCTATATGAAAACTGTTAATACCAGAATTCTAACATAGCCAAGTGAACTTGTGCCAATCAACCTTAGAGATCGTCTGCAATGCAAGCATCAAGCTTACTAGTAACTTGTTACAGTGGTTTTGCCATTTTAGAGGTTATAATGCAAGTTAAACAGTCCTTACATGTCATTCCAGTCCACATCCGCAGCCCCATCTTCCTTTCCTTACCTCATTCTAGCGTCTCCCAGGTGGCAGTAGACTTGTGGCCTTCTGTGTTGTATTTGAGTTGTACATATCTTGGGTATAGTACTTGCAACATTGTAAGCTGCTCATATCTATAATAAGGCCATAATCTCCTTCATTAGAGAGTTTGTTTTTAATGCTTTGTTGAGGTATAATTGACATAATCTGCACATATTTTAAGTAAACAATTTAAGTTTTGATACGTTTATGCCTGTGAAGCCGTCACCACAATCAAACAGTGAGCATCTCCATAACCCTCAAGCTTCTTTGTGCACATTTGTGATCCCTCCCTTTCACCTTCAGTAAGAACAGCCCTCACCTGCTTCCAACGACTGCTCACACACGTCTGCCTCCCAGGTGACGTTGATCTGCCTTCTGTCACCGTAGATCAGTCTGTGTTTTCTAGAGATTTGTATGCATGGAATCATACAGTATAAATTTGTCTGCTCAGCAAATTCTTTTGCAAGTCATCCATGCTGTTAATATGTATCAGTAGTTCTTTATTCCTCAGTTGCATTCCATTATGTAAATGTACCGCAACTTGTTTATCCATTCACCTGTTGTTGGATGATTGTGCTATTTACGGGTTTTGGTTATTACAAATAAGGTTGCTGTGAACATTCATCTACAACTCTTATTATGGGCATATATTTCCTTTTTTCTTGGGTAACTACCTAGGAGTGGAGTGTTTCGTGTATGTTTAGTTTGTACCATTTTGCTTTCTCATCGGCAGTGTATGAGAGTTCCATTTCCTTCTATTAAGTCTTGAAATTAGGAGGTGTTAACCCCCACCTTTGTTCTTTTTCAGATTGTTTTGGCTATTCTTGTTCTTTGCATTTCTGTATAAATTTTAGAGTCAGTTTATCCATTTCTACCCCCTAAAAAATCTGGCATCATGGTTGGGATTGTGTTGAATATAGATCATTGGTGGAAGGCAATACTGAGTCATTCAAACCCACGAATGAGGTATACCTCCATTTATTAGCACCTTAATTTCTCTCAGCAGTGTTTTAGAGTTTTCAGTGTACAGGTTTTTTCACATCTTTTGTCAGATTTATCCCTAAGTATTTTATTAAAATTTTAAATTGTTCATTGCTTGTATATACAAATACAGTTAATTTTTTAATTTTGACCCTTTATCTGGCAAGATAATTATTACTATACTCAATGGGATTGTTCAGTATGACCTTCCAGATGAAGCTAGCCTTTGGATTTTCTACCTAGGCAAACATACCACCTACATGTAAAAAAATAAAATTCTTCACTTAATTCTTTTCTTGCCTGACTGCACTGGCCAGCATCTCCAGTACAATACTGAATAGAAATGGTGAGAGAAGACATCTTTGTCTTTTTCCCTGATCTTAAGGGGAAAGCGTCAATCTTTCACCATTAAGTAGGATGTTTGCCATAGATTTTTTGTAGCTGCACTTTATCATATTGAGCATGATCCCTTCTG